GACGCATCTTTGGATAAATGAAGTCATTAAGTTGACTCAAAACGTATAAGGATAATTCTTGTTCAATTATTGGTTAAAGAGTGAAATTATCTTACACTAATTTTATTTGTAATATACATTCGACACAATGAATCACGATTCAGTTAGAAGTACTTTAATGCCAACACTACTGCGCATATTTTTAAGCTAATTACAAATATTTTGGCATCCCAGTAAATTAAAATCCACCACCTTTGTTTCAGTTCGTTCCCAATCAGTGAAAGCACCAGCTCAAAGGAAACGCTCTCAAGGACAACCTCCACCACGACCGATTCACAGACCTCGTCTCATCGATGAACGCAAGTCCCGTGAGCAGACGACCGTACCATCTTCCTCTACCTCATCACACTCCCAAGGTGGAGAGGATGGTAAGGTCCTCTCCTCATCCTCCTTCTCCTCCTCCCCCTCCCCCCACTCTCCCTTCTCACAACCTCTTCCTGTAAACACCTCAAGTCTTCGTCAAGATGTCTTTCGTGTCACCATCTGTGTCTTCCACTCCAGTCTCCTCTTAGTTTCCTACATAGCTTGGACTACTTTTCTAATTCTCCTCCTACCTGCCTTCTGCATATCCTACTGCATTCGACAAATCGGCCTCCTTCTTGCCCAACATCGACGATCTAGCCTAGTTGAAACCTTGTCTTCCCTCTCACTACATTACCTTCATGGTGAAGATGCAGGAAGGAACATTGTGGTAGTCATCTATCTTGGTGCCCCTGGGATTAAGATTGCTGCATTGAAGAAACTTCTGGTCAAGCGTATTTTCTCCACTCCACGCACACCGAGTGGCACTCACCAACGACGAAATTGTGGATCTAAGGGTATGGAGAGGTGGTTTGCTGAACGACTTCAGCAGATTGTAGTGCCTCTACCGACTGGATATGCTTGGCAGAGGTGAGTTCGAGTCCTTTTGCCCATTCAAACTGCATGTATAAATACCTACTGAAGAGCCTTTTGTCGACAAATGTTTTTCCACAAAGCTGGAAGTATGCTTTTAACCGAAGCATTCAAGGGTTGCTGACCTACTTTTTCCAATTGGAATCATCCGATATTTTACAGTGGAAGTGAATTCTGATTTCTTCTGCTTAATTAACAATTCTAGTTTACATTTTTATAAAGTTTACACATATTTAATTCCCTTCAACATAAATAAGCTATTGGATTGACAAGTTGAAGTAGACCACCGCTGTTTTTTGGCAATAATATTTTTAAAGTTGAAAACTTTGTCATCAAATTGAACGAATAAATTGAATGTTATATTTCAAATTAAAATAGACAAATACAAATATGAATAAATAAAAATTCATCATAATAATTAGAACTTTAAATTGACCTTATGAAGATTGAAGAAAGATGAAGAAGGTGGAATCAGTTAATGAGACCGGAGTTCTAAAATCGTCTTATTTTCTCCCTTGACGGTCATGATTCTAGATTATTGGAGAAATTCTTACTCGCTTATTTACCGACAAAAAACTTCGTTTAGGTGCTATGAAAATAGGAAGATAGTGTGCTAAAGTACTATCATTAACACCTGTAAGCCTTTTGTATTCCATGCTTTTAAAAAAATTAAAAGCTTTCGTAAATGAAAAATGATAAAAATATGCCTTAAAAATGAAATCTTCATTTTCGAGTCCCACTTACATGTCCTTCAAAGGGATGGTCAGAAATGTATCTAGCGTCTTAAATGAATCCCTCTCAATATATGGAGAAAATCGATAATATACATCTCTGCCCACGTTTTATCTTCGGTCCAATTATCACCTGATTTGTTGACTGGCGTTAGAAAGGGCTGTCAAACGTGGGCATGATCAATTTAACGATGCATTCCATTGAATTCGTGAAAAAAAGAATTAGTTTGCATTGCTAGGTGATTTTATTTTAGAAACGATTTTGGGCCACTTAGTCCGCATAAACTTAACGCCCTTAAAGCCTATTTGAGATCGTACATCGAATTTGACCCTGAATTAATCGTAAATCGGAAACAGCTGATTGAGGTTAAGAAAAATATCAGTGACCTTTTTTATTTAAAATCCTGTTTAGCCTTATTTTAATACAGTTGGCGCCCAAATTACTATAAATTTAGAAGCTACTTATTTAGTCCATTCGGGCTAAATCGTTCAATGCTTTTAAAGTAATATTTACTGAAGGTAGAGTGAGGTATTTTGGGGGGAATTTCCTTTTTGAAACCAATATTTCTGCACAGCTCTTTGTCCCTAACGTCAAATTTTTGAGAAAGTACTATTGCAGGAGGTCAAGGCAGGCGGGCTAAGCTTGGGGGTGATTTTAATTTTTCGGGGTGAAGTTATGCGTTCACGGAATTTTTGTGATAGCGCATTTTACATCCAATTCAGAATGCAAAAGAACACGTCCTTGAAATTGAGCATGTTTAAGAGATCGGGTGTTGTCACTCCTCCCCTCACCCTTCCCCCCCCCTCTCCTCCTCTTTCGAGTTATGGAATCCTAAGTCCACTCGTTCTATCTAGCAAGATTTCTTTAAGCATAAATAATAATGGCAGTAAAGTGCTTCATTCTTTTAGCAAACGCATGTGCACCATGCTATGTTGAAATTATCCAATCTTGGTGAATGGGGATTGCATGACAGCCTCATTAATTTCAATCATTCGGAATATTACTCAAATATGCCGGTACTTGAGTAGACGTTGCGAGCAAATTCCATGGTTTTAATTTTTGAGATCTAATGCTATGATTTGCAACTGCGTAATCAACTCGATCTCGGATTCAAACCATATTGAATAACTGAAATTTGCCAACTTTTGATCCTTTCCTTCTACCCTCGTCACTTCTGCCCTTTTCTTGAAGTGCATCACTTTCGCTCCGTGGTTGTAAATGATCGACTTCTTAACATGATCACGCTTACTAACCGTAGTAATAATTTCTCTCACTCCTTTTGGGAAAAGGTTTATTAACGGTGTCTGACTAAACAGATTTACGATCGAGCTATTTATAACCATGAAATTTGCAGCTGTCTATTTCCATTATTCACACTTGATGTCACGGTAAATATCACTTTGGTTGTAACGACATCAGATAAACGAAACGTGAGTCTGATCGCAATCGGCGTTGATTTTAATTTAGATACGGTTAATTGTCAGGATATTATTAATCAGTATAGCACTAGAATATAACCTAAGAGCTCGTCAATGTAAGAGTCCACTGCGGCGAACCCTTCTAAGTTGAAATTCATTTTAGCACTTATTTCCATTCAGTAGGATCGTGGGTAGGAAAAAACGGTACGAAATATCTGAAGTTGTAGATAGAGTGAGGGAAACAGTGCAGAGGTGAGTGGAAGGCTAATGATTTATTTCTGCAGTCAAATTTCCAAGTGCTTCAGTGGCAGAGTCAAGATCTGTTGATAAATAATCTTTAAGACTTTTTAAATGGGCTCCCCCAATCCCACTGCCTAGTTGATGGATGTATTTGATCTTAATGTTTCCACCTCGATACAACCAAGAGCCTATGTTTTAGATTAGGGGTGTGCGATAGACTTACCTTCACGTGGTGCACCCTGAGCAACGTATGCTTATACGGCAAAAAAGTCTATTAACTGGCAGTTGACTTCTCACTTCAAACTACCATCACCTCACTATATGTCATATTCGACTACTTCCATAGTACTCACCTCACCTTTTTCTACTTTTGTGTCTGTCTCTTTTACATTTTTGAAACACTCTACTGTTCCCCCTCCCTTCTCGACTTTTTTTCAATTTGATGTACCTTCCTCTCTGTGAAGCCTGAAGTCAACTAAAGGGCTAATGATAACCATCAAGACGCCTGCCATTGATATGATAATAATAATAATAATAATGTTTTAGATTATGCTCCAAAAGTCATGCAAATATCTACTATACCCTTCTCTACGTTTTGAGTGAGAAAACATGTCAGTCAAATGGTGTTTGATCATAGAGTTTGTTGGAAGAATGGCTATCTTTCTTAAACAGATATCTATTATAAATAAACGAAAAAGGGAAGTTTTTTTCAACTAAAACATGCCATTTTGAACACTTTTACTGGATAAAGCCATTTATTGGCTAAAATTAATGAGGGCATTGTTGTGTCAGAATGCAAACGAATTGAAATTTCCAAATTGATCAAGTAAGTTGATGATTGAACTTGGATTCCTCTGAGAGTCGATATTTGAATGGTCTTTCATCAATTTAATTTTTATTTTACAATCTCATATTTAACCAACACTTCCATTGTATATTTTTATGAGTCATTTCCCGTATTAGTCAATAGAGAAGAATATTCTGCTGTGACTTGGATGACAAAGAGCTTAAAATTACGCAAAAGCTTTTTCACACTTATTATAAATAAAATAATAAAAATCAATTTTATAGGCATATTGAAAGTTTTCCTAAGAGGTGATTGCACTGATACTACATTTCCTTAGTTAACTTCAATCAAAAATTCGATTTTTCTTATTAGATGTTCATCGATTAATATTGACGAGCATGTTGTGCCAGCGTATCTCGTCGGACAGAACCGACCAAATTACGGACGACGTCTTTCGCCAAAGAAACATCCTCCAGAAGAAGAGGGCATGGTGGAATCAGACAAGGATCCTGTTGAAATGTTGGTGGGCCAATTAGCTGCTGTTGGAATTCCCCTTGACCGACCGCTTTGGCAGGTCCATCTAGTTGAAGATTACCATGATACAGTAAGTCGCATTTAAGTTTGTGTGTGTGGGTTACTATTTCGAGGCTTATTCATTTAGGCTTATATGAGATTAAATCTTCGATAATTTAATTATCCTGTTGGAAAGAAAAATGACCTGAAACTTAGGCAGCATCAATTTGAGGCTAAGAAAATTTCGATTTTATTTCTCCTTGTCAACTTTATGAACTCTAGTACTGCAAGGTAGAACAGGTTAAAGCCTGTGGTTGGATGTTTTCAATCGAAAGTGGAGAAATGGGAACATTGAAAGAGGACGTGGTATAAGGCTTAAAGTGACAGAATTAAGTATAACTGGTAAAATTTGATTGAAAAAATCGGAAAATATCAGTGGTATTAATTGTATGAATCATTAATGGAACGAATATATGTTAAATTTCTACATATTTATACTATTGAAATATCAAAATATTTCTCTGGTATCTTGTTTTGCAATTGATGCCAAAAAATTTACTTTCAATGAACAAAATATCTTCTATCTCTCATCGTAATAGTGCTTCTGAATATTTCTTAGGTTCCAAAACTCATCTTTATATTCTAAAATGTGATATAACTATTTTTATATATTATATTGAGAAGCTAACTTTACTTCGATACATTTTCACTCCAATAGGTTAAAAATAAAATAAATTAATATTAACTAATTTTTACCGCTGTTTAACTGTAAACATGATCGATTTCATCGATTTTCAAATAATCAAACTCCTTTGATTGAGTTTTATCCTGTCAATAAGTCGAATTTTCAATGTTCTTGTTTGCAAGCTACCGTCTACTCTCTGTCCTTTCCCACAAATTATCAGACAGTTCCCACTTCCCTAAAGATCTGATAGCCATTGAATTCAATACTATAATGGGGGGCTACCTTCGTGCAGTATATAAGTGCTGAAGGAAAGGTATGTTGGCTTAAAAAGTCATGTCTAAAATGAATTAATAATGTTCCCAAAGGTCAATCGCAGAAAAGAATGTTGGTGTGTGTGTGTGTGTGTGTGTGTGTGTGTGCGTATGGCTTATCGAAAAATGAGAAAATACTCGCAAATGTTTATCTTCCTCAATAGTACAATTTTACCTCTGCAAGTCCATGGATTGAAATACCTCCTTATTGTTTTGTAGCCAAATATTATTCCACAGTTTATTTGAAAATTCATTGCCTACATGGGGGTGTTTTTTGTTTAAACATTTTGTTCGCAAAAGTTGTTATTGTCTAGGAATTCTCAAGGGAAGGAATAATTTTTAACATTGGACTTTACAATGGGAAATTATTCACCTAAAGGAGAGTTTGGGTTGTGAGATTTATTGCAGAACAGAAATAGCTCCTTAAAATGGTATTCAATTTTATCCTCAATTGCGCATGAACCCAATGGAATGGGAATTAAAATGTTCGCCAAAGTTAGTTCTAAATATTACGATCATTGGTAGACCTTTAAGAGCCAAAAATGCGTTCTTTTATCTGTTTTCGAGAAAATTGTTTGATTGGCATTCCTAAAAGTTTATTTATTTTTTCGGCACGAATTCTGGCGGAACGATGGAATTCTATTTAGATTAACAAGGCTATAATGTGGGAATTGCATTTCTTCCAGTCTATAATCAAATTAGGAAAGAGAACGAAAGAGGATTTTAATTTTTCGTAAACTAAAAACAACAACAATTACGCAACAAATTCTTGAAGCTGGAAGTATCTCGATGAACAGGCTTGTTTGTTGGCCTAGGAATCAAGAAGTGGTGTGAATAAAGAACAATTCATAGCAGATTGTGGAATGGAATAAGTTGATAACCAACAGAAAAAAGAGGTACTTTGACGTCTCTTCAATGCAGCACTACATTTGCTCGCAACGTTTGGCCATTTTCTTCTTGACTAGAAGCCTTCGTTTCAGTGTTCTAGAAGTGCTATGGGAATTAAACGCTAGAAAATGTGCTGAAAGTGGAAACAATTCACTGCCTCTCTAACAAAAGACATGCCAAAATAAAACGATTGAATTTGTCCGATTACCTCCTGTTGTTAACAGTGCCTGAGAACATTCTAAAACTGGCACAAATTCGATCGTGATTTAAAGCAGTGCATATCAATGGAAAACGCTTCGTGCTTAATGTGATTAGGGGAATAAAATTTGACAATAATTAGCATATTTCATTATTTTTTAACCATCGACTTATATCGTGGTAGTTGGTTTCATTCTTTTGCTGATATAATTATACAATTTATAATTGTGAAAGGGGAAGGTAGCAAAATTTTTCATAGATCCCAAGAACACTATAATCGTATCATTAAAGTCATGAAGTTCATTAACAATATCTAAGTTAACTCACATTAGAGGAATTGAGAGTCAGACTGTTGATCTCTACAAGATGTGAGTGGTCATTGGGGCCATTTAGAATATGCAGGCGATATAGGACCTGCTGAAAAAATTCCAAGGGGATCTGAATCAGTACTTGAAAAACATTTCTCACAAGCGTCAAATGTAAAAAAACAGATGAATGGAGGTAGTTTCGGATCTAAAACAACCACAACTCCAGTTTTATGAAAACAGGGTTTATCGAGTGAGTTCAAATTCACATATTGACTTTCCTTTTAGTGAAAAATGTCTAGCTAATAATGCTATAAGACTCAATATCACAAAGGTCAAATGACAGCCAGTGTTGACCAGGCCAGACCTGAGATCGGAAATACTTTCGATTAGAATTTGAGCAATACTTCTTGACATATTGATCGTGCCTGTTCTTCTTTAAGGCTTGTCCAGTACTGTCTCATGCAAGATGAATGTCTGTTCGAAATTCGACTTAGTGAATGGTACTGGATCAGTACTGCTGACATCAAATGAGCGTTAAAATGTTGGCAGGAAAAGTTCCCATGGTAAACCCCGTTGAATACTTGCAGAAGAGACGGCTTAGTTTGCACAAAAGCAGATGCATTGCATTGCGTTCCCAATTGGCCAAATAGGGAAAATTCAAAGTTGTTGTCACAAAGTGCTAGCTTAGACAGGGCATTTCAGATGTGAAGCTGGTTTTCTGTGCGAAGGAAATTCCCTACTGAATACAGAAACATAGTTAGAAAGTAATTCTGCACTTACTATAATACCAACCAGAGATAACGCCTTGGTAGATGATGAAATAGCCTGTTTGAATTCTGGATGCCATCAACAACGAAATGCAAAAACTGCACAAACCGATGGAATTTCTTGTCCTGTGAATGTCTGCCATAAAAACCAATTGAAATCAAGATGGTTAGGAGAGCGTTTGAAGACATGAAACTCAGGGTTTCAAAGAACAAAGATAACTTGAAACACTGTGGAAGGAAACAAAAAGCAGCCAATTTGAAGATCAGGGAGTCCAGATGCAATTATGCCTTGATTATCAACTTGGCCCCAAAACTCACCTGATTCGCCTCTATTAGTCCGTTTTAAATGCTCTTCACCATTAAAAGTGGCAAAATGTTTTTGCTTTGTCATGGGTCGTAATTATAGAAAATACTGCACCTATCTCTCATTTCTGTATTGTTGTGCATACTTCATGATTTCATTATTTTTCCTTCACAGCGTATCCGCAGAATAGAACTCATTTCAAGACCACTGAATCATCTTGTTCAGGTTCTACCGCCTCCTATTGATCAACTCGTGTATTCCTTTTTATCTCAGCCAGTACGAGTCTTTCAACAAATGACTCTCTTTTAATTGATTGCAATGGTTTTTGTGTGATCAGCTGAAACCCAGGGGAGAAAGAAGCGATGATTTGTAAATCATTAACTTATTTTCTGCCGTTAAGTAAAAATTCCCAAATAGGGTTCAGGTCATAGAAGAGATTTTCGTCGTGCCTTCTGATTGAACGGTGCCTATACTAAATCCTTGGGAGTAAGCTTGGACATGCAGTAAACGCCAAATCGATTATCTAACGAATTTTAGTTTTCTTCTATTAGTTGTTATCTCTAACTTCTATCCTCAGTCGAATTTTTAGTCGCTGTGATAATTAAGTAGATATTATCAAATAAATGCTCATTTAATGTTTGCATCAACTATATGACTTGGGTGTAAAAATTGGAGTGACCAAATTGGAAGAAAGATGAAATTGTCTCTGGGTGTCATTTCTCACGGTGAGTGAGTTTCAAGACTATTGAGGACAACTTTGAAGGTCAAAATTTCTTTGTTGCTTCAAGATCACACACTTTGGCAATTCAAGGGATACCAAAAGAAAGCTATTACCTGAGAGGACTTTACCGGTATAGGCCAATAATTACAGCTTTGAAACCGATTAGATAATTTGCTGTGTTCACTCTCAGTTTCGTTCAATCGGTGCCAGTAGTTAGTTCGACTTTGTCTAAAATTGGGTATTATTAATTTTATTCAGGGTGTGTATCAAGTGGTTTGTTGGCTTGGAATTTATTGCTATTTATTAAATCATATTTCAAAGCAGCGTAGGTATCATATAGTGCTCTTCAAGTTCAATCTCCAACTGATCATGGAATGCCTATTAGCTAGATGGTTTTAGCTTTTCACAGCTTTCTTTACTACAATTTTAACAAAATTCCTTATACGTCTTTTAATTCGTAAGTGCTTAATAAGCTTTACAGGTGAAAACTTAACGAATGGGGAGAGATATTTTATCGAACACCCAATGGGAGGTCTATTATTGATCGATGAATGATATTTCCAACCACTCATGTTCCAGGTACAACGTGAGGTGTAAATAAGAGCATTTTTAATTTTTGTGTGCAATTTTCGTCCTATTAACCGGTGATCTTACTTATTTCACGGGTTATATACACATGATGCTCTTTTAGGGAGAAATGGCATATTAAACTGAAAGTATTTATCTCTACTCGTTGCTAAGAATAGATCCAGTGGCAAGAAATGATTAACGACAGGCCCAATTGTCCTTGTTTTTTGTCATGTTCTCTCTCTCTCTTTCTCTCTCTCTCTCCCTCTCGTGGTATGGAATGCTGCTGCTGCGCTGTGAAAGCCGGTGATTTTATTTCCGTTTCCATAAAAGGTACACTTCCTCTCTGATGCCAAATATAGCCCAGGAATTTGTAAATAATAATTCCCCCCCCCCTACCCCCACCATCCCCTCATCCCCAAAAGAGAGAGAGAGAGAGAGAGAGAGAAGTGACTGACTGTCAGAAAATGAGATTTTCAATTTTTAATTTCAGACAAGCAAGAAGATGGTGTGGATTTTTCATTGTTCAGATCGGAACTAAATATTCGATTTCATTTTAGTAAAAAATCCATATTTACCAAGAAGTAAATTTTAATTATTTGCTTATCTTTTTATTGGGCACTTTGTTGTGTTGGCTCCAATGGTTGCGATGATATGATTTCGCAAATTTTCAAAAGTAGACATGAACTCGAAAGAAGCTGTTTACTTTTAAAGCAAACAAGAAGTGGATTAATGTATGTAAAATTCAGTGTGCGAATTAATCATTTCTCAAATAAATGAATAGAATTCCAGAAATTCTATAAACCTAAGAATACACTTAATTATGCTAGCATTCGAGGCTGAATTGGTAGTGATATCAAAACGACTATATTATAAATGGCTATTCACCTAGTGGTTCTTGCATTAAAGTCTTCCATCACTCTAGGAGCAGAAAGCACTCTTGAATTAGCCAATAGGAATATTCATAAGTCAATTGAACGCACGGGTGGGGCACATATTGATTAGCGCAAGGAGTAGAACCAATTGGGTGATGATGGCGTCTTCAGGCGGAAATAAAATTATCACGTCATCTAATGGGGACAAATTGACTGTCAGTAATTGAGTTAAGTTCAAGGGTCGAGCATTGTAAAAAAACTGACCTTCAAGGTGGGAAAATCCTCTAACTTTTTCGTAATCCTTTTATAATTTTGCCTCGTTCTGTAGAAGTACTTAATTATAAGTTCCCCGCCCGATATTTCACGCAGTCAGAGAACAGTGGTCAATGTTAGTATAAAATATAAAAACTAAAAAAATGACCTTCAGAATTTCAAAATTTTATCTTGAATCGTTGTGAGTTATTTATTTTTTCATTTGTCTCTATGACCACTTTGTTTTGAGGTATTTGGGATTTTACATCTAGTTGGAGCTTACTTTGAGGTATTTGACAGAAGATATATCAACGAAGAAATGTCACTTCTTGTATGATTGCGGAATTGTGTCAATGCTCATGGTTCTGGAAACGATAAGTGGAAGGCATTTGAATGATAGGAGGCGCAGACAAACCCATTAAGGAAATGCATCCATGGTGTCAAAGGCCTTGCTTTTTTGAACAAGGTGCCCATATTTTTCTTTGAAAAAAATATATAATGCTCAAACTTCCTGACCTGACTACCAAATAAATTGATATGCTTACCTTCTGGATATTCAAATATCATTGACTGGTCAGTATAAGTGCTTCGTTGGTTGGTTGATCATCTCCACGCAATTCACCTGTATCTTAACACAGCCAAATGAACGTTGAATCGGAGTGAAGTCATCGCACCAAGGAATTAATAAAGCACGAAATTTGGAAAGAGTGGAACACTTATTCGTTTGAAGTTGAGCAATAACTTTCGTCAGTAGCTTTTACTTTTAATCTGCTGTTTGGTTTGAGGCACCTACTACTTTTCTTTGCTTTAAATCTGGTTGATGCCAAAATAATTGATATTAAACAGTGGCATAAATTTTTGCAAGGAACCTAGCTGAATGATTTAGAAATTCGATTTCACCTTTTAAAATTTATTAAATTTTTCTCACCAAAAAATATTGTTTATTGAAAAACTGATGCAACTGTATGTTAGTTAAACAATTATGTCATTAGAAGAAAAATATTTTTACTATAGAAACGAGATGCAATTCATCGTAGGGAAAGTGCGCAAGATAGTAGGATTGAAATTTTATTTCTTTTCTTAAAAATGACAATAATAAAATTGCATAGTGATCGCCCTCCTTTGGAACCCTTTTAGAGACTTTTATTTGAATGCCCTCATCGAACTTCGAATTATTTTTCCCATATTTTCACACGAATATTTGCGGGTGCTTTAGCTGGGACAAAGAATAGCCCCCCCCCCCTCCCCGGCGCTATGGCTATTTAAAAGAGTTCTGGTTTGCAGATTAATTAATTGAAACTTACTAGAATTCAGCTCTCCCCCCCCCCCCCAACCACAAAATTAAAATATTACTATAATTTTTTTCTTTTGCCTCTCTTTTCAACTTCACCTTGATCGGCTATTTTTGTTATCAACTGGCAGGCTTTATGATGTTTATCATTAGCCCTCTAGTTGACTTCGGGCTCACAGAGGGGAGGAACAGTCAAAGTCACAAAGCGTCGAGGTGGGGGGGTGGACAGAAGAGAGTGATTCACAGATGTAAAAGAGCCAAACAGGCACAAAGGTAGAGAAAAAGGTAAGGTGAGGTGAGTACTGTGGTAGTGGTCGAATATGACATACAGTGGGGTCACGTTGGTTTGAAGTCATAGCATTTGAAGTGAGAAGTCAACTGCCGGTTAATAGACATTTTTGCCCTATGAGCATACGTTGCCCAGGGTCCACCACGTGGAGGTAAGCCTATCGCGCACCCCCCTTGATCGGTTCTAAAACTTGCGTGTGCAAGTTGCGCCTAATATTACAGACCAATCAGAATAAAATGGAGTTTAATTAATCGATGCGAATGAATACTTCGATTTCTGTCAATCCCACTCTATCCATTTAAAATTTTCCTGCCGAATCTTCTTGTTTTTCTTTATTCTTCATTCAGTATTTTTTATCAATTTTTCCACCATTTTAAGTTTGACTCTTAAAACGCACACTCACATACAAATTATCACTTGCAAAAATATGCAGCAAAATTTGTGCTCCATTCTTGTTAATTAATGTTATGTTTAGGAGAGTGAGAAATTGAAAAAAGAGAACAGATGGCTTTTTTCGTTACTTGAATTAGTTCCGAAGCGTAAAGTTTTTACCGCTCCGAAATATCTTTAAATATTCTGGATTTTTAGAAATATTTGGTTTTGCTTTTAAATAAATGCATAACAAAATGAAATATGCCAATTATTTTGATAATAATTAAATGAATATATTTAACGTTAGGTTTAGTTTGCTGATACAAATTTAGATTTAAAATATTTGTAATAATGTGATATTTTAAAAATCCTTAACTCGACAGACATTCAACTACGATTATATTCTTCAAAATATTTGTGCAATCTCAAATGAAGAAAATACTTAATTTGAAATTTGATTTATCTCTGATGGAAAGCAATCGATTGATTTTTCAATCGATGATTGTCTCTTTGATTTAATTTAGATATGGCTACACACCTTTCAGTACAAATATTGGCAAATAGGAGAAAGTAAGTTTGGGGTCTTTCAGTCATGAAACCAGGAGTTCTAGGTGGCTGGAAATACTGTGGGAGTCTCTTCGTCCTTTAACCTCTCTTCCTTCAAATTTCTATGCTCTATGTTCGACGCTTAACCATCACAATAAGTGGACCAAAATTTGTTGAGGATGCTATTTGAAGCAAGAGATAATAAAATCCTGCGAACGCGTTCCGCTTCTCTGACACTCTTCCGCCACGTGAATGTCTGGAAATAAAGTTACGTCTTGGCTAAATTATCTCACAGTCGATCGATCGTGAATATCTAAATTGAAGTATACTTTGATTTTTTAATAAAAACATCGTTTGAGCTATGGAATTTCTGTGAATTTTTTGTGTTAAAAAACAACGTCATATTATACAATCACACCTCTCTGTGCTTCTTTAAGTCTTGACACCGTTTTTAAACTATCTGTCTTGTCAAAAGGCATTTGTGCTGATCTCTGGTATGTTTTAATTATTGTATTATTAAAGTGTATAAAGTGGCATTCATATTTTCTTCATTTTTTACGATATTCGAAATATTATAAGTGCTTCCTTTACACAGAGTTGTATTGCATACTTATAGAAAGATGCCCTCACCGTTCGTCGAATGGATTCCCCCTTTTCACCAGCAAGTTGGCAAGAGAAGGACTACTTGGCACCCTGGCGAAACAGTCGTCCAAATACTTCTCCAACGAATGATGCGGCGAGTGAAACATCGGCTGAGCATCCCGGAACCTACCATCGTGCATCGCCAGCCTCGTCGGTGTGTAGTAGTGTCAGCATTGCTGGAACCAACTCTTCGAGTCGTCTAGCTACCGCACCGACGGGAAGCCTGATAGTGTTTCGAGTACATTCAGCTATCACGGATGATGCCCAGAGCTTGGTGGAGTTTATTACAATCCTACTATCCGAGGGAGCATTTGATGAAGAAAATAGGCTTTCAGGTTCTAGTTCGGTTATGACCCCTCTAGAGCCAGGGACATCAAAAATTGGAGGTAAAGTGACTGCCTTGAATTCAATACCCATTTTGTTTGCTTCAGTCAGTGTATATTTCACAAATTATTTTGCTTAGCTTGTATCTAATAAAATTTGAATTAATCTGAACACAGGAAATGAGAGTATAATTTGTTTGAAGTGGAATCGCAGGGAGAACAACATCCGGGGATTGGAAAACATTTGACCCTATTCTTGCCGTGTGAACAATTTTTTGTTTATGCAATAGTTCAGTACTTTCAGAATTCAACCTCTCTCCATCTTTTTGCAGTATTCATATCGACTGCAATTTTTTTCGATAAGATTTGCCCGCCAAATTGACTATTGCAGTGTCTCGCGTGGAGACATTCATAATTTGAGAGTATTTGTCATTTCGAACGAAGAAATTGGCTTGGTTTGCTATTCTTGAAGCTGCAAGTATTTGTTTTAATTATGAATTAACTCATCGCGTATTTTAGCGGAACTGATGATACTTATTTATTATTTATTTGTTTTCTACCTTCCTAGTACTCACATTTTAAGGCGCTTTGACATCAATTTGTATTCTAGCAAACAAGCCTTTTTGTATATGTTTTTTTTCTTGTATATCCGATGTTGTCAAATTTCTCCGTCTTCAATATTATAACGGAACTCGCCGTTTAATTGTCAAATCAGTCAATCCAAGTGTATGCATAAATGCTTCGTTAAATTGATAAAGTTTTTGGTCAGAGGTGCTTATAAATCATATCCTCTATTTAACCCATATGCAATCGCTTTGAACTCGACCTGTATATATGCTAATTTGAATGGTATATTGATGTCAGTAACTTCGATTAAGTGAATATCAATGTCCTATATATATATATATATATATATATATATATGTAATCTGTAATGCTTTGATGCTCCATTGAAGGAAACCAGATTGTCATCTATAATTCTCGTAATTTCTAGGCTTTTCTACTATTTCAGTGTAACTTTCACTTTTGGATTCTTCATAAGATGTATACTTTCATTAACTTTCATATACTTTCCTGCTTTCATTAACCAATTTTGGTTACTTCCTTTCTGTGTTCGGTTTCCCTTCTTTTTTAAAATTGGGGAGGGGGGGGGGCCTTAGCACCCGCTCTGGAATGCCTGGATTGGGGGGAGGGGGGTATAGTTGAGATTATGAGATTTTCAGAGTCTATTGATAGAGGAGATGGCAGTCAGTTAAATGGAAGTGGGCTTAGTTTCAATGAATTTTTTTTATTAACAGAAATATATTTAATCAGAAAAAAATGTGGTCTGTGAAAAGTACAGGTAGGGAAGTATATAAGCTCGACTTGACCTTATAGAGTGGCCATAGTTGTAGTATTTCTGCCGCATCATAAAATTTCGACCTCGTTTATGTAGGAACAAACCCGTTACTACTGCATTACCTTATCAATGAACAAGTTCTCTTTCCACTTTCTATTCCACTTTGAAGAAAATCTTCCTTTAATGTCTTAGTAATCTTGGCACCTGCAGATTGAATAAACAGATGTTCGATTAGTTGAACTTGCCCGATTTCAAAATAGGAACTTTATAATATTTAAGTTAAATCACGTGTATAAGAGAACAAGTTTCACTAAATTTGTCTGCATAGCCTAATATTGATTATTTGCTTCATTAATTACTTAATTTAATTAAAAAAGGTTTCAGCCTTCCAGTTTAAAGAATAAGAAACAATTGAAACCGAAAAATTGGAGATTTCGCTCCCATTAAGAAAATACCTCGCCTTATCTTCAGAAGAGATTGGGCTTTCCTCTCCTTAGCTCTCCTTAACTTCAAATCAGACGGATAATGAAAATATTTTTGAGGACATTTTACGTGCATCGTTTTTCTTTACAGTTACCATCAGCTCACAAATTTTCCATAATAAATGAATATATAATTCATTGCATCTTAGAGCAGATCAAAATACCATATTCTTGAACTATTCATACTGGGTATATAAAATGTTTGCTATTCATCTAAGCAGGCACTAATGTGGCCTTTAAATGGGGTTTGTGCTGCAGATTCTAGTCAGGGCATAAATGCGGATTTCAATCTAACCCTAGAGGAAATGGCCACCGAATGACTAATGGATGTGCGTCCAAAAGCGCCCTTGTATTTACCTAATTTGCACATTTATTAACCAAAACACTCCAAAATAAATAAGCTGTGCTTACTTGCCCAATTCCAAATGGCAATTGTGGAATCGAGTTTGCTGATCGATTCGTATCCATGGATGCTTATACGATTCTCAAAGAAAAGCAACACATGAAATGATACTCAAATAAGCTAAAAGGAAAAGATACTTTCTAATAGACACAGTCGATGATGAGAGAGAAATCGATTGTGGAGTTTTCAAAAGCTGCAAACTATTGATTTAAAATCTGAAAGGAACTTATCGATTTGAATTTTCCTCAGCTTTACAGATTTTTTTGCTTTAGGTTTAAGTCTTTCCAGATCATTCAGTCAGGGTCTTTTTAATTCAAGTGTCTGCTGAAAATGTCAAAGAAGCATTTAAATTTTGCCTCATTGATAATGTTAAAACTTACCCACATGCCTCTAATAACATTTTTTAAGGTTGAATGCTATTTTTTGGTCTTTATAAAATTCAGGTTGAAAATTGAAATTAAATAACGTATTTAAACCCACTTCAACAAAATATGAATTACTTCAAATATTACATATTTTTTCTATGACTTCAACAAGAAGTATGTTTGTTTGTTGACGAAATGCCCAATTTTATTTGCATATGTGCTGCAACCAATAAGAGGATGCCTTTTCTGTTGCAAAGATGCCTACGTACGTCGCCAGTTCACAAGGTCGCTTCGCAAAGGCTAACCTGACCATTCAAACGGGAGCTGTGGTCTTTTTAGCTTCCATAGCTAATTTCATCGTCCATAAAACTATTCTTTTCATACTTTGACAAGTAAAAATTGAATTGTAAAACTGCGTCAATTATTTTGGTAAATATAGTAGCCCATTAAACTTACCTTTTTCGAAGTGGTGTCAAATTGGCTTTTCACAATCTTGTCAGGAAATATCTCATCTTTTTGTTTTGTTAAAATCGTTCAAACCGCTTCACTAATTGTGCGCCAATTCCGTGCATAACTTGCTTATAAACCCTAGCGTTGGCATATTGATTTTCGATAGTGTAATTATGGCTAATCAGCATCGATCATCGATTTAGCCAGAAGTACAGTGAACATCTTGAATGCACAATTTGCCCAAACATGCACTTAAATTTACACAGTAGTTGCGGTCGTCTTTCATCCTTATCAAAATTTCCTTTTTTATGTCATATTTAGTGGCAGGCAGTCGACAATAGAGAGAGAAAGGGGTAAATCCGGCATGAAAGACTGCTGGAAAAGAAAGGTGAGAGGTAAGGCGTAGTAAGGGTAGGGTGGGATGGGATGGGGTAAGGCTCAGGTGGACTATTTTTGGAATGCATTTTGCCTTGTTGTGCTACAATCTGATGCGATATTCCGTGGTGGCTAACAGCGCTGCACACACACACACGCACGCACACATCCTACATTATTGGCACACTTTCTTGCTTGGGAATACCTTGCAAGGCTGCCTTACCGTTCGCTATAAACTGTACGTACGGGATTAATATTGTGTATATACGAATGAATACCTGCTTGGAGGTGGGCGTGCAGGATGTGAAATGCGTTTGCTGCTACAACGAGATTCTCAAATTAATTTATTCTTCCATATGATTCGTATTCAAGGGGTTGAATTATCTAGGCCATATGATCAGATATCAAATATCTTGTAATAAAGGTATTATTACTAAAACAGGGAATATCCTATTTAATATTGCACCATTACTGTGTAGAGGAGTAAGTGAAATTTAGAGAATCACAATTTTCTTGCAATCTCAAATGTTAGTTAACTAAGAACTTTAGAGCACTCAATATGATTGGAAGTCAGCTAAGTAAAGAATTAAAAGAAAAGCGAACTTGCCATTCCATTCAAATACGCATTGCATAAAAATGTTAAAATTCGCCTGAAAACCGATGCACTTGTGAATTCGAAGTAACCATGCTTCAAGTGGTTGGGTTTTTAGAGGTAGAAGCTGAGATTTGCATAAAGTTATATTTAACATGACCAAAGGTCAATAAACAAGGGTTAATTCATTACATTTGCTAATTAAAAGCCGATGTTGTGCCAAGATCCAACTTAGGTAAAGAATATATATAGTCTTAATTGAAGTATTTAGTAGAATTGGAACAAGCATCATGTTGATATTTCAGTCCTGAAATCAACTAAGGCCTTCCTTGCTCTTAAATACTTCACTATAAACGGGTGAATACTTGTAGTCATAGACTACCAGTGTAGCGATGGTTTGTACCGTGTTGCTTTGCGTGTTTTTTTCTCATTCAGCCAAAAATTCGTCCAAGTTGGATAAATACAGAAATTAGTGTGTCTGTGTCAATCTCATCTTTGAAGAGTCGTTAGTGCAAGCTTAGTGAGATTAATATTGTTGTCAAAGGCAAATAGTTATCACCATTGGGAGCACAAATTGAGGAGCACCTTTTATCACTTTTTGTTTCATTTAGTAGAAAATATAATATTTCCCATCAAGAAGTGTGCGGTGCTAGGTTGTGCTCTTTCTACCAAATACGATTTTCTCCTCTTCTCAGAAGGGAGTTATTTGTCACTCAAAAGGTTGTTTTTAGTTAATTGAATAGCTCCTCTATTGCAGATGGTAGGGATAATATTATGGATAAATTTTGTACTAAGGGTTGGGTTGTAGGATTTTTTAGCTTTATTCCAACGTTTAGTCTCTCATTTTTATTCGAGACATGACAATAACGATAGGAAGCATAAGAAAGGGAAATTCTTTCGTTGTCGCAATGTCTAGGTGAAGGTAGTGTAGAGGGCTTCAGTTATGAGATGGGCTCAGAAGTCTGTCCAACATTTACCCGAATATGATTGCTTCGGAAAGCGTAATTCGGAAAGAGTTTACAGTTTTGGGTCATTTTTTTCTTTACCCGCGGAGAGATTGATGACAGTCAGATTTGGATGTTAAAATAAATAAGATTCTACCTTTGATATACGGCTGTAGAAAGAAAAGACGTTAAGAAATGCAGACCTCTTTAAAATGAAGGTAGATTTTTCTTCGTTTCATCAATATGACGAGACAGTCTCAACCAGATTTCATTTTCAATCTAATCAATGCCAATTTGAGGTGATTATAACATCATAATTTGTTTTTTTTGTGAAAATATTTTAACATTTCTATAAGAAAATTCCTAATAAGAAAGAGCGAAAAGCTTTAAAGTTCACCCTTAAAAAACTAGTAACTAGCATTATCCACTGTTGCATCAAGATGGTATGTCTTGTATTTGAATTCACCATAGTAACCTGGCGGAATCGAGCTTTAAAAAATTGAATTAAGCGGTAAACTCTGAGTGTGAAGCAATACTCGTTTGATTACCTATCTCCATCCTTCAATTTTATCAAAACTTGTTTCTTAGCATATGCAGTTCCCAGTGGTTGGGTACTTTACAACAACAAAATTCGAAATAATAGTAAGGGCCAAGAAGAACCAGTAATATCACTAATTTAATTAGTATTTAGTCCTATTCAGAGCTCTGTTCTCTTCTTTTCATTTCTACAATATTTTCATTTCATGTCAAGGAACACCTGTTCATGGAGAAATTTTCGAGTAATCGATTACGTAGATGTCTCCATATGTCATACCTTCTGCGTTTTTTTGCAATAATTTTAGTAATTTGTATAACTTTTACCATTAACTAAAACGTTATAGATTTGTAAACTGCGTTAAACGTGAAATTACACATTTGTCTCCTGCTGTTTGGGCATGTTTTTAGTAGCCGAGCATTTTTTAATGAAATTGCTTTGTAAATAAGAGAGAGTAAAATTTATCAACCATGTGATCAGCATTTCAGACAACTTAAACAACCATCTCAAATTGGGTTGACTACTAAAAACTGCACTCCTACAGTTTAATGACCCCGATATCTAAGCGGAAAGTGGTACATTCTGATTTAGCATTAAAAGGAGGTTCGTTTCTTGTTTCCATATTATTTTAGATCTTTAGCCAAACAAGCCGCCTGTCAATTCTTAATCCATGTACGTGTGTACAGGGTGTCCCGAAAGATGCCCACACATTGAAACTAATTGCCCACGTGCAGTTTAATTATAATTTTATTATTTCAAAAAACGTAAGGATATTTTATAAGTATTATTTATTGAATTTTTCTCACTGCTTGTTCTTAAACTGGCGTTGATATTCGTGGTCTTTTGGAAGGCTGTTTGTGAATGTTTTCAATAGTTCCATCAGCTCAAAAATTACCTCTATTTCGATTGAAGGTAACTCGAGTTGGAGGTTTTCTTCGCACTTCAATTACATTTTCACAATTCCATTTGTTTCCTTTTGGCAAAACTTTTCTTTCTTTAAAGCTAAATCTGGCTGTCATTCTTGTGTTCAGGGGTTGAATCTACAAAATAGAAACAAAAAATTAAGTTATGACTCTTTGCAATTATTTAAAATGCATTAAAATGCAATATTTATTTATTCATTTTAAATGGCAGGCTTTGTGATAGTTATCATTAGCCCAGTAACTGACTTTGAACTTCACAGAGGGGAGGAACATCAAAGTGGTAAAATTTCGAGAGGGGTATAGAAAAGTGATTCAAGTATGCAAGAGATAGACAGACACAAGAGCAGAGAAAAGGTAAGGTGAGTATTGTGGAAGTAGTAGAATATGACATACAGTGGGGGCGATGGTAGTTTGAAGTTAGAAGTCAACTGCCGGTTTATAGACTTTTTTGTCGTGTGTGTATACGTTGCCCAGGGTGCACCACGTGGAGGTAAGTCTATCGCCCACCCCAAAATGCAATATAAAAAAACTATAAAATAATACTTGTACATAAATTTGCAAATTCGCAATGATGAAATAACAATCAACGCTAAGTTTAAAACTATTTTGAATGTGTTTACATATATATAAGTTAACTTTAAAAGTTTTCTTCAATAGATTACAATGTGTAACCATCCCATTGCAAAACGCGCATTTCTCCGTTTGATATGAACTGTGCATTAAGAAATCGATATAATTGTTACAAAAAGCAATCAAGTTAGAACGCTTTATTGATTTACAATGTCGGCAGCCAGTTGACTACAAAACGTATTTACCTATGACCTTGAACTTTTCATTCAAAACAATGGTATAATGCGTATGGAAGAATGGAAGACATGAATAGTAAAGCTACGTTTCCACCGTAAAAAGCGAATTATATATATATATATATATATATATATATATGCAATTACTTATTAGAGGGGTGTAATTTTATCTAACCCTCTCACTTTTAAAGAGGACAAAATGGACAAAAAGCGGTCTTCCACAGGCTTTAAAGTGCATTTAGCAGAATCCTCTTTTGACTGGCAAGATCACCCCGAAAAAGCTCCCTTTGCAGTGTCTAATCAGCCAACACCTCTACGAATGTGCACCACAAGTTTCTGCGCCTGGCTACGTGAACTTAACGCTGTTCGACGAGAGGTTATGCGGGCTCTACTTCTGGGTCCCTTTCTAATGCTACATAATCTCATGATGGTACCTGCTGATATAGGACTCCTGTCTTCTTTGGTGCAGCGCACTCCAAGTGAATTTGAAACTACTGCTTCAGTACGTCATAAACAAGTGTTTCGGCGTATTCAACTCCCGCTTGACAAACTATTGCATGTTCAGAAGGTTACTAAAGCCAGCTTTTCGGAGATTTCAATGAGTCTCCTGTCAGGGGCTCTTAGAGCTTACCAGCAGGTAAATTTACTCATTTCATTTGCACAAGAACGCTTTAGAAATCATTCGACTGCAGTATATATGGCTCATTTTTACAACATACAGCTCATATTTATCCCAATTAAATCCAACTTATCGAGAAATTTCAAGAATTTAATGATTCTCTTAGTTTGAAATCGAAGTTATTTGTAAATACTAGTAAATACGGAAATAACTCAATTTAACGGACTTACTTATTGCAACATGATCACATTACCTGTGGTGAAGCAATAAATTCAAACTGCCTTGGAGTGGGAGTGGGGGGGGGTATTTAAGTACGAGGAAATGTAGGAGAGTTCAATGGAAGAGAAGGGCGGAAGATGAGGCAGAATTGCGACAAGCAAAGGCCCCCAGAAGTGATTAACTTCATTTGCATTCAAAATTTATCAAATTGGTTCTTTTGGCCCAATGAGTATAGTTCATTATGAAGCATCCTAATCTCATGGAATCAATTTGAAGAATATATACCTGTGATTTCTGGTTGATTTTGTGTTCACAGTATTCTGACCTGCAGATGTTAGTTATTTGACTAGTTCGGGTTCCCTCAAATGTATATTTTAATAATAATAATAAAATTATGTTAAAATACTGACTATAAATTTAATACACCCAGATGATGCAGCCATCAGAGCCCTCGACAAGTGTGTTAGAATCTACAAGATCAATGCTCCTCGTTGAAAATTCAGAGACATGAATGTCCAACAGTATTGGTTGAAAATGATCGATAAGATCAGTTTTTTTTGGATGCCATATGCTACTCCAGGCAGTCCGCACTTTAGCCGAGTTAAATGCTAATAGTATTTACCATAACCGACTGGGAAACAGAGTTAAAATGACTGACAGGTATTTGTATGATGGTCTGCCATTGGACGAAGTTAATTATCAACTTGCTCAAATATAAGCTAAATTCCATACCTGTTTAGTTAAGGAAAGTGGATGTTGCTATCGAAATTTACAAGACAAGCCACCTTGATTACTATCATCCAGTTGAATGACAAGTGGCAAATGACATCCATAGTACTATTCTCTTTTTTTTATTTCTCTGCAAATATTTTTCTTCGGAATTGTTATAATGCTTATTTTATTTCTGACTATAGTTTCCTAATTTTTCAAATTTATTATTTAAAATGTGTGGTACTTCCTTCAATTTGATTATAATTTCTTTGAACGTTCGATCTTAAAAAACGCTAAAATTTGAATATAGAATGATTGAACAATGCGTTTTTTTGCATCGTTTAAAGTAAATATTGACATACCGGAAACTACGTCCTTAATTCTGGATGACCACGGTAAAACTCTCTCTCTCCCTCAACCAGACCACAGCCGAGTATATATATATATATATATATATATATATATTTATATTTATATTTATATTTATATCAAATGGCAGACGTTTTGATGGCTATCATTAGCACTTTAGTTGACTTCAGGCTTCACAGAGGGGAAGGAACATCAAAGTGGAAAAAAGTCGAGAGGAGGGGAATTGAAGAGTGTTTCAAAGAAAAAAGGTTGAAAATTTAGAAAAAAATGTGATGTAGTACTGTGGAAGTGGTCGAATATGTCATACAGTGGGGACATGGTAGTTTGAAGTCAACTGCCGGTTAATTGACTTTTTAGCCGTATGAGTATACGTTGCCCAGGGTGCACCACGTGGAGATCAGTCTATCGCACACCCCTATATATATATATGAGAAGTGTATCAGTAAATTTGAGTTATGGAATGCGAAATAGTGAAATAATTACCACATAAATATTCCGTAAACGGAAAATCGAAAAAATTTTTTGCGATAAGACACCTCTTATTACTCCATCTTTTAAGTCTTTATATTTCCTTTTAATTTGCAGTCTTCCAATTTTTTGTTTATGATGAAGACCTAAATTTTCAACATTTTTCCAAGGTTATTAAATAAAATCTGCATATTTTAAATGTTAATTAAATTGGGAAAGGAAATGAGAGAAGAATCGTTTAATTTCCATTACATTAATCGGTATAGGGATGTAAATATTTATTTTCAATATTCGTAGAATATAAGTAGGTCTGTCAGAAGAATCGTCTGTTGTCAAACTTGTCGGAATCTCTTTCAATAGCGTATTCATTCTTTTACGCTTCATTCTACCTCTTTTTTTCTTTTTCAAAATTTTTAATAGGTATTTCCGGTTTGGGGGAGGCGTGAAATTGAACTAATCATGCTATCCTCTATATTTTGATTGATTTAGATGTCAGGTATGAAGAAACCGCCAGATTTGTTAGTTCGGACATGTACTCCCACTCCCAACTTTGATGTGTGCTGTGAAAGATTGACTCAGCTAAATCGTCAGAGAGATGCCTCTGAAACTGATATAGAATCTCAAGAACCGGAGCATAATGAGGCTGTAACAGCTCTTAGTAATATTGTCAACGGACCCCCCGCACATTGTATCTACACACTGATGCAATTGCCACTAAGTGAAGAGGGCATGATTCCAAGGCTGTGGAGAGTCCACCAACGCGTTTCAATGCTTCATAGAACTGCTGTGGCTGTGACCTTGGAGTGGACTAGAGATCTTCTACATCTTCTCCTCCCGCATTGGTTGGCTTTGAGGGCGGATAGTCTATTTCTAGGTGGTGCGTCAAAGTGTAGCGTCACCTTGGCTGAGGTTTCACTGGAAAATACAGGGAGTGTGGAGGGATCTAGTAACTCGACTCTGAGAAAACGATCAAAATCTGGTACGCTTAAAGTTCCTTTTAATAAGATTATGCGATGTAGGAGCTAATGCAGTTTGATCAGTGCTGAGCCTATTTTGATTCCATTCCATGCATGCGGAAAATCTATTTACTTATTTTATGTATAATGCCATAGGTGAGTCATTCATTTCCTTATGAGTTTAAATAATGCATTTATTAAGAAACACTTATTGATCAATCAATATAGAAAGAACGATAAAATACTTAAAGGATACAAAAGCGTGGGTAAGCGTTCATCTTATCACATGAGAATGAATCCGAGCGAACAGTCTTTCCGCTAGCCATCCTTTTCTTTGTGTTGATCGAGTTAGTCTCCGTGTTCCGGAATGTGCATCCCTTCTGTGTTCATGCGACTAAGAACGGGCTAATTTAATTCGACCAAACTGTAATGAAAATGACGCAGGCAACAGAGTTTAATCTTTTAAACTTCTGCTATTCAAGACGAAACCAATTTATCCTACTATCATACACTCTATGGCCAATTTTTTAAGTGATAAGTAAATAAAGCAACTGCTCTCAATAGTGGCGTGTCCAAGTACTTTCAAGAGCTGAACTTTAAGGCAAAAGAGAGCAATTACCATTTAAGATCACAAGGACCTATCATTTTTTTGAAATCCACAATATTCCATTTTCACTTCGCTCTCCCTCTTTTAAGTCTATTGAAAAAAAGGCTTTACGGTTTCCTCATCAGTGCTTATGGTGAATACGAAATTAAGATATAACTTTCATTTCAAAGAGAAAAAAATGCCGTGAAATTGGTCGGGACACACACACACGGGCAAGTGCAACTTATTCACACCTTGTACCAAATCTTAACAATCCTCTAGGAGATCGAGCTACCTGCGGCCAAATAAGATTTTCTAGCATGCTGCACTTTTGCCCTCTGCGTTTAACCTGACTACGTCTACAGAAGCCGGAATACAGGAAAAGGAGAGTAAAGTGTTTATTGCATATTTGGCGCTCAGAAGCACATGCTCTGTGATTAAGTACATTTAATGCACCTTTGAAAAATGATCAATTCCCGATTAACTGAGAAAGTCTCTGTGTACGCATAATTACCATTAATAGCACGTTCACACTTTGCGGAGTATTAAACCATCCCCCCCCCTTCCACCTCAAGGTTCCCTTGGCCAGCTTTATAACATTGTAAACTCCGCAGTACTCCCCCTTAGAGAGCGTTGTTAGGTAGTTAAAATGTGGGAACAAAAGCTCGTTAATTAGTTACCGTATCTAACTGACCAATCAAAACTGGGAGGTAGCTGTGGATACAGATATACACCATGTTGGAGTGGTAGGGTTAATGATATCTTGAATCGAAAAAGTGTCTTGAGGAACTGAAGTGTGCACATTATCAGCGAGAAAAGACACAACATGGAATGGTTAAGGTTTAGGGTATGTGAATTTAGATTAATGAGATCTAGGTAGATCGACCTATGCAATTCGATGCTTAAGGTGTCTCTACTATCGTCACTACAGGGGATGAAGTATTTAGGTGGGCGTGCTAGGATTTTTAAAGGACCGTGCTGAGCTGGTTGCAAATCTGTCCTTTAGGCAACTAATCGAATTAAAACGAATGAAAATCTTGTTAAGTCCTTACGAATTTGTGTTGACCTATCATTCAGATAGATGGGCATTGGGTGGACAGATTGGAAGTGATCTTTTAGACGTGAGTGATACTACATTGAACTTGTCTTTGTAGTAGGGAATTATCTCACTGGATAGCCTAAGATTTATAGCAAAGACGAGGTTTTCCTGGACAGTATCTGAAGCCTTCTGACTAATCTAACCTTGAAGAGGTTGTTGTTGTAACTGATCTAGTCTGCCGATGAAAGCATTCTTCAAGGCCATTTGCAGCGAGATAGATTGGAGTTCGCATTTTCGTTGAGCCGTAGAGATGATTGGCTTGCCTAAGAAGGACAGAAATAAACTCGCTTTGCTATGACATTACATGAAGCAATGCACAAAGGTATCCATGTTCCCACTTGTGCTTTAGCCACAGATTCAGATGGGCCAACATGAATCGGAACCACAGCAACCCAATGCGTAAGACCATGAATACACACTGGGGGAGGGGAGGGGGGGGAGATGAAAGAATTTGATGAAGGGAGAGGACTTGTTATGCCATTATGAATGTGCTGTCAACTATCATTAGTTAAATGAAGGGAAGAGAGTGAACCGCGAGTGGGCTTGGCAATTTTACTAGCTTGACAAGCGAGGCGATATTCTGCCCACAGACGAAGGCCATGTTGAATATGTTTCCCAGAAGACGCGGAAGGTGGAATTCGTGCTCCGGTGCTGTGATTGCAGGACAAAGGGCCCCGGCATGAACCTTTAATTTCGGTATCAGACGTGATTGAGGTGGGCATTAGAAACAAAAGGAACGGTTTGAAGTGGTTTACGCACATTTTTGATCGGATCTTTGGCTAGAAGAAATTTCATCGGAGTCCTAGGCCCGGTATTTTGTAGTGATTTGGCTTAATTTATTGCGGGGCACTGCATAGCCAGTAGCATTTATAAAGCCATCAGTGAAGTCCAAGTGGCAATTTTTTAAGGAGAATGGTGATCTGTGGTTTCTCGACAAGTAGTTTCAAGTCGGTTAAGATGGTAAATTGACATGCTGGAAGAATGTATCGCAATTGTCCGCCGGCTAAGTAGATATCGAGTAATTCATTGTTGAATATGCTGCACAATGTCTTTGTTGGATCTTAGACTTCTGGACAGATGAGAGGAATACGTAGTGGGTATTGATTTGTAAGAGCGAAATTTTGTATTTATCACTACTTCTGAAGAAATCCCATCCAGTTCAAATCCATCTAATTTGCAAAAGAAAGCGTGCATTCACATTGATTGCCTCATTCATAGCCCAGGAATTACAAAGCCGTTCGCTGAAAACGCTATTAAAATATATTCATTAAAGTAACAGCTCACCGCCCACTAGAATTCCCTCGACATGGAGAAAAGTGCAAATAACAATGCATTTTCAGAAGCATTTATGGAGGATTGTGGGGTGAGATGACGGGAAGGGTTCGTCCAATTCTTCTACATATTTTACGGCGAAAGGGCTAAAAATTATGTGAAATCAAATGAAGACAGTTTCCAATTCTCAAATCTTATTTAATATTGCATAAAAAATTTCAAAACCTAGAAATTGCATTCTGTTCCATTTTCATTTGTCTGATAGCTTTAAGAAGTATTAATCCTTGGCCATTGATAAATCTTCTGTCTTTATTTAAAGGGTCCAGAAAACAATCGAAATTGAAGCTTCAGTCTCGCAGAGGACTAACAAGCCAGAGTTCCACGAAGATGGATATTTCACAAGCCCTACGGCTAGTGAATCGTCCAAATTCACTCAAAGATTCCTCAAATTCCTCAGTCTACGAAGGGAGTCCTTCCAACGAACGGAATCTTGATTTAATATACCTCTCAGGTGGTGTTCCAATTGTTCGAATTGAAGCCTGGTTGGCCACCCATCAAGATGAATCATCGATTGAGGAATCACTGCCTCCAAATTCTTCCAGCTCTTCTCTGGCCGAATATGGAGGTGAGAAGAAATCAATGTGTCGAGATTTTGCGGTTGTCACTTGTGTCTATGGCAGTCATTTGACTGTCGGTGTCACTGCCAATTGTCAAATGGATGGAAAGCCTGGACTTGATCTCATTCTTAATACCATGCTTAAGCAGGTGAGAATGACCTATTAAAACCACTTTCAGTCTTTCGAGTGAGCTTGCCTATTGCTTTCGTGTCGTCATTTTAGTTAAACATCCTCTATAGGCTTATCGAAAGTCGATTTCCAGCTAAACAGGTGATCTACGCACCAAGGAGACGCTTCAATTTGGTCTCGGGAGCGGGATCGTCTAGTGTTCGAATGCGAGTTATTCAGGGATCTCCAAGAACTCAAAACCGTCCATCAACTTCCTCGGTGTCTCCTCAGCTCTCTCCCACAAATATTCGTGAATCTCACAACCCCGATATAATGATTGGAGGGGAATTGGTGCGTGAGATAATTCACGACAAATTATTTTAAGCAGGCCGTAATTTAAATGAGGATATTTAAATAGGGCTATGGTATACCTAGTATGCAATTCATATAAAATGTAAAGTAAAAAAAGGCTTTCCGTTTGGGGAAAAAACTAGGATAAATGGTATAGTTGGTTTAGTCCTTGTCGATTACTTCTGCTGTGTTGATGGTGTATTGGGTATGCAACAGCATTTGAGTGAGAAAGTTGAGAGGCTTATTTGACATTTTTCTCTCATGTTACTTTGATCTCCCAATCACCTAATGGGAGGAAGCTTTCTTATAACTGAATTTTATTAATGTAGCATTTCATGCCTCAAAGTCTACCAAGTGCGTTTAATGAGAGCAGTTAACTCTAATGGTACACATTCTTTGGTGTAATCTAGACCGCATATCCCCCATGAGGCACGCTTAATTTGTGTTTGCTAATTCAAGGGGGAAAAAATCGGCTGAAATCACCCCATAGTAAGGTCCATTTGGAAAAGGAGCAAAAAATATGATTTTCATGTAATTCTTTTTCATGATTCGTTCTCCGCATCACAATGAAACGACTCTTGCCTTCCAATATCGTACGCCTGCTAAGTGGTGGTTAAATCATGAAGTTCGATCTTGCCGCTTCAAGGCTTTTCTTTGACTACTATGACGATTAATGAAGTGGGAATACCTTGCTTGATATTAAGTGTAGCGAGGTGTGCGATAGATTTACCTCCACGTGGTGCATCTTGGGCAACGTATACTCATGCGACAAAAAAAGTCTATAAACCGGCGGTTGACTTCTGAGTACAAACTATCATGACCCCACTGTATGTCATATTCGACCACTTCCACAGTACTCACATCACCTTTGTTCTACCTTCGTCTTTGAAACACTCTTCTGTTCCCCCACCTCTCCTCTCGACTTTTTTTCACTTTGATGTTTCTTCCCCTCCGTAAAGCCTGAAGTCAACTAAAGGGGTAATGATAATTATCATAAAGCCTGCCATTTGATATAAATGAATAAATAAATAATAAGCGTAACATAGCAAAGTTGAGGTGACCACAAAAGTATGAAAGCTAAAAACACATTTAGCCCATCGACGCCTTCATACGGAGCCAATAATTTCCAAACATGAGCACGATAACGCAGTTATCGAGCAACTGTGATACTCGTGGCGCTATGTATAACAAAAATATTCGCTATTTTCCTACTCTTTTTAATGCGAGTTTACGTTCGATGCCATGACTTATGGCATTTGCCTCTAAAGATTACTGTCATAAAAGTACCGACTTGCCTGCACATGTTTGTGAATTCGTAACAGCTGTAGGATTTTTAAAGAATACACCGGGAAATGCATTTGGAAGATGGCTTTTGAAATAAGCCTTTCACAGAAAGAGAACATTAATCTAAGTTCCATTTTGTTATTTATCTCCAAATATTGGCATTTTACGGTGAAATTTGATTTCACCATCACTGTGCTTTTAATTAATAAAACTTCAACAATCGGGCGTCTATTTGGTGGAAATAGAAGTGAAATCGAGTCCACAATGAACTGTTTATATCCCAACTCCAAAAGACACAATTTTACGATCCTCACGCCGATATCCCAACAGGAAGAAACAAAAAAGAATACAAGTTTTCGTTGTTATCGCAAAAAACATCCCCTTGTGTATCTCCAAATATGTTGAGCGCATCCTAATTCATAGTAGACCACTGAAAATATATAATCAATAGTTGTTAGGAAGATAAACATAAAATAAAGTCATAATTCTGGTAAAAGTTAATACCTTAGAGTTATTCATTAATATGCTTTCGCCCTGACAAATGTGCAACCCCACTTGGAGCATGTCATGAGTTCTTCGCTTAGAGTACTTTGGAAAGGGGAGACAGTTTGACGGTTTGATGAATGGCGCCTTAAAAGCCCGTTTTTTGCATTCTTCTTCTTTTTCCAGTTTGAGTACAATGAGAAGCAGTTCTTGAAATACAATTTCCCACCGCTAAGCTCGAGCCTGCGAAAGCCTTCGCTACGTAAGACTCAAAAGCGCCATAGTAACGAGCCTGTAGGTAGTGAAGAAACCCCCAGTGAAGAATCAATTCTAACTTCGAAACTCGTTCCCATTCTTAAAAGTTCCTCCCCTGCGGTTCCTACACAAACTGAAGTTAATAAGAAGGCGAAAAGACAGCGAACGCGTGAAACCTCCGAGTCCCACGGGAAGTCCAAGCACACGAAGAAGCAACAACGTTTCGGAATCTCCAAGAAGGTTGGTTCTAATTTTTAACAAAGTAATTTAATCTTACTTTCACGTCGAGATTAAACTCATCGCTCTAATTTTTCTTCCTAAAACGCATAATTTTGTTTTAATTTAGACGAAGAAGCACCTGCAACCAAAATTAACTTCACCAACGCCAAGAAGATCTCAAGTCCGATTTGTGACTGAAAATGACTAACTGCGCTTAAATTCTAGATGGATTTGCCCTTTTCTACATGCCAAACTATCCTTACTACTGATAGAAATTTAGTAGCACACCAGAAAGTCTTAGTTGTACACACAAACTTACATGCATCCTCCTATTTAATTTTGTCTCTTTACTTTTTCTTTTACGATCTCCCCTACTCACCCCGCCCCATTGTTTTTTTTTCAAATTCCTCAGATGATCATTAACAAAACTGAGCTGAAAGAATTGAAGAAAATTGAAGCGTGCTTTTATTTGATGCGACATTCAACACAAAGGTAATTCGAAAGTTTGACATAATTAACAGCTAAATTATTTGATGTTAAAGTATTAAGTGTGATTAAGTTAAATTGAGTCAATTGAATTTTCAGCTAATACCAAATAATAGTAAATTAAGGCAAAATGATTGAAGTGGCAGTATTGCCTTACTACTTGAACTTGGATACAACTTGACATTCGTTTTCTTCTATTTTTTTTATAGAACTTTATGGCATTTTAAGCAACAAAATTAGCAATAAATGTCCCATTCACTTCTAGAATCCGGCATCTTGTAAAATTGTCAAACAACCATACTCAATGACGAACTTCAATTGGACAGAAACCTTAAAAAATACCATCAATAAAAGCTAACGCTACGTAGAAATATTGTTTTCAAGACCAGTATAGCCCAATTTCACTCTCAACTTCTCTTAGAAAAGGCTGTTGTGAAATTCATTAATACCTTTAGTATTGATAAGTTAATCAAATTAGAAATGTTTAAAATGATGGACTATTGTTTGCCTCAATTCTAGCAGTGTGGTCAAGTCCAAGAAGGGAAATGGAAAATGTTTTATCGCCAACTATAAGCTATATCTCCTTGTTTCCAGTAACATAATATCGGACTTGTGAAAATTACGTATTCTCCGAGTGGCTTTAACAACCATAGCCTCACAAACGGGAATATGCTGTTTTCCTATTTACAACCATCAAATTGAGTATACATATCTCAAAAAGACCCATGACCCTCGTGTCAGGAGAGTGGATGACATTTTGAAAGACGACGCTTTAACCACTTTGTAATCGTGAATAATAAGTCAGGCCACTGGACTTCTTGATGTTCATTGCGCTCCAATAATATAAGAGCATTATTATTATTATTAATTTACAATAAACATAGAGATGCGCAAATTGCCATAATTACTGGGTTTCTACTCTTCTTCCTTCTAAGAGATGGGATGTCACAGCATGACAAGATTAAAGATCATTCATCGTTTGTAATAAGCAAAAAAAATTTCCGACTGGCTCAATAATTAGTTACAAATTCTCAAACCAATCACCAACGGAAAAAACAAAACCGAGTATCTGTCTTATGTGGTTACGCACGTACAATGGCCCTCACAACGATGAGTTTAAACACTTTGCAACGGATTATTTGTACCAAATGGCAGGCCTTTTAATAGTTTTCATTAGCCCTTTAGTTGACTTCAGACTTCACAGAGAGGAGTGAAAAAAGTCGAGATGGAGGAACAGAAGAGTGTTTCAAAGATGTAAAAGAGACAAACACAAAGGTAGAAAAAGGTGAGGTGAGTAATGCGGAAGTAGTCGAATATGACATACAGTGGGGTCCTGGTAGTTTAAAGTCGGAAGTCAACGGCCAGTTAATAAACTTTTTCCCGGAAGAGCATACGTTCCCCAGGGTGCATCAAGTGGAGATAAGTCTATCGCACACCCAACCTTGCGATGGATTAGCTATACGTTAAGACAACTTCCAAGTATACTGTGAATTTCGATTCACAATGATAATTAGTAATAAGGCAAATCAATATTCTCAAACAGGGGTGCGCAATAGACGTATCTCCACGTGGTGTACCCTGGGCAACGTCTACTTATACGACAAAAAAGTCTATTGATAGGCAGTTGACTTCTGACTTCAAATTTCTATGGCCCGACTATTTTCATATTCAACCCCTTTCACAGCACTCATCTTACCTTTTTTATGCCTTTGTGTCTGTCTGTCTCTTTTACCTCTGTGAATCATTATTCTGTCTCCCATCTCGACTTTTTGTCACTTTGATGTCCCTTCTCCTCTTCGTGAAGCCCCGAAGTCAGCTCCAGGGCTAATGATAACTATCAAAACGCCTGCCATTTGATATAAATAAATAAATATTCTCAAACAGTCGAATGGAGTGTGTAGAAGTTTAAATAATCAACGTCACTAGCAATCAAGATTCACGAAAAGCAAGATGGGCTTGATTATTGGTGATGAAAACAGTTGGACCGAGGAGTCCAGCCACTTTGTTCTTCATTTACAAAGAACAAAATCAATAAAATTACAAAATATCCATGCTTAATCGTAATAACATCTTAAGCACTAAAAGGAAAACTAAGGCGTCCTCCTCGAATTTTACTGACCAGTTGTTTCAAATCAAGAAGAAATATTAAATCCTCGATGGACTGTCACAAACAATGAACATCAATGAAGCCCGACATTTGGGTATGCGTCGAAATCAGACTCACAAAGACAATAATGAAAAAGTAGGTAAATACAAAATGAAATAAACCCAAATACCTCGTATTCTTTAAGAACCAACAGCACACAATTAAATACTCAGGAACATAGTCAGAAACGCTCTCTTAGCTTAAAAGTACTACACCATAATATTTATCGATCGAATATGACATGATAACTGATAGCATCCCAGAAACAGTAAACAAAATAGAGAGCCTTACAATTAGAACGAAGCAGACAGCTCCATATTACAGAAGTAAGGAGGAATCTATAAAGTAGTTTAATTTCGTTGAGAAAAGCGAACAAAACAATCAATGTACTCAAAAGAAGCTTAAGGGACTACAAACAAAATATGAAAAAGAAGTACCCAATGTGATTAATAATAATAATTTAGAAAGCAGCAAAAATGGAAACAATGGGGGTTGTAAAAGACCAATCAGTACATGAGAAAATAGCTGAGGTGTATGCTTACAGCTGAAAAAGGCATTTTATTATAAACGGTATGGCATTATATTTTTGTACACAACTGGACGATTAAAACATTCGACGCCATATTTATCTACGCATTGGACCACCGCGCCCACGACCACGTGGTCCACCTCTGCCTCTTCCACGGACCAAGGGACCACGACGCCCGCGCGTCGAATTTAAAACTAGAGGATGAGTTAAAAATAAAAGACGAAAGCTTACTGCTTTCCTTCTTGGGTTTGCGCTTAGTAGGTCCCTCGTCAATAAGAAGTGTGTCCAAAGGAAGGGTGTCAGGAAGAATGAAGTAGCGAATATTATTGCCACGAACAGTGAGTGTGTCCATACTTATAGTGTCTTGATTCTTCATTGTGAGTTTAACTGATCGCAAATGGGTATTCATAGAGACATCAACACAAGCGATGGTACCGTGAACTTGAGTACCATTCTTAAGTTCTATTGTAACTGTCTCGTGATTCAATTTCATAAGAAATCTGCAATAAATCAAATAAAAAATTATATTTCAAAGATTCTCCTTTCAAATAACGAAAAATTTCATACCTGACTAGCTTCATCTTCACGCAAATATAAAGTCCCGGTTTTGTGTCGAACGGATAAAACACAGTTAAATTTGATTATTTCTATTACTTGTTAAATGAAAATATCTATTGCAGCATATATCAAAATAGTACATATTGAGTAGTGTCTATTCAAAATAAATTTGAAAAATATTTAATTTAGCTAAATGTAAAGGAATTACTCTAAGGAATACTTTTTAAGAATCATCTGCAAAAGATAAATATATTTCATTCGTAATTTTTTAAATTAGCTCAATTATGACTGTATTTTTTTCTGAACTTGCACTTTTATTTTATTGGCAATCGCTAAGATTTAAATAAATTTATTGGTAAAAATTGCGCTCACATCAAATGTGATTGACAATTTACACTGCGTAAGAATTTAACTTTTGAAATTAAAACAGAAATATTCGGAATATGATTCATATGAAAGCCCACAATCCGTATTGAAGCTCTATTCTGTAAATATATTTAACTCAATATTAATGAATTGCCAAACTTTATAATAGTTTCACATATTGAAATTGGTATATAGAAAAGAGCCAAATTTTAAATTATGCCTTTTGAAGAGTGTCCCTTTTGGAAAATCTATTAATAGATATGGTGGATGAGTGTCGTCTCATCTTTTTATAAATGAAGTGCGCAATAATCTCATCTCCACCTGGTGAACCAATGGCAATGTATATTCATACGCAAAAAGTCTATAAACCGGCAGCTGACTTCTGACTACAAACTACCATGACCCGACTGTAGGCCGTATTCGACCACTTTTGCATTACTCACCTTACCCATTTCTCTACCTTTATGTCTGTCCATTTTACTACTGTGTGACACTCATCTGTTCCCCCAGTAGACTATCTCTCACTCCGATGTTCTTTCCTCTGTGAAGCCCAAAGTCAGTTGAATGGCTAATGATAAAAATCAAAACGCCTGGCATTGGTCTGCATGGGGAAAATACTAGCAACAGCCAGAAAAAAATAATGGACATAACTCTATTCAAAATGTCTTGCATTTCTGGTCCTCTGGCATATTTATTTTTTTCAAATTGGTTTGACCGATATTTCCTTTCTTTAACTCGATTTTACTCAATAAAACAATAGAAAACAGTTAAAAATGAATGTTCATCAAACCTACAAGTCAAAGCAATAAACATAAATTTAACAAATAAAATGAATTAAAAAAATGTATGACAAAACTAATCAAAGTTGCACGTGTTAACTTCATCATTTAAACTCATGATATGATACAAGTTTGGGATATTTTAAGAAGAAAATGAACAAATTTTTAAAAATATATTGACTTTGGTTGCTAGTTAATTATTACAACTTTCAACCGTATTTGTTTATAAGATGCTCAACCATTTACTTGAAAATCTAAACAAAAAAATCTATGGGCCATTTTTAAGCAAATAATAATTGAATGGAATTTTGTTTCCCAAGTGAAAAAACGGAACAATTGAGGGTCTAAATAAGGCTTCGTAGCAATAAAGATATGAAAGGAAATTTTACATACTTTAATCGAATTTGCTTTAAAAGAATGCGATGAAAATCCTTTATATAAAATAATAGAATGCTTATTATATTAAAATATAATTAATTATAATGAAATAAATAGGCAAGTAGATGACGCACAAGTATAATCTTAAAATAAATTGTAGTATTAAATAAATTAACTAAAACAGGGCAAGCTATTTTAAGTTATTGTTGATTTAAAAATACGTTCCCTAGATATTTCAGTCAATTTTCTAATGTTTGTTGCATGTCTTTAATCACATAATGAAATTAAACAGATTAAACATCAAACTAAACTTATTATTAATAACATTTGCTAAAATTTTTCCCCAAAAATTTGTTTAAGTTCACCAATATAAGGTCAATTTTGTTATGACGTTATTCAGAAAATTCTGGCTGAAATAAAAACGATCTTCCTATTTAGATAAAATTTTTTAAGCGTCCAACATTATGTCTGGTTTAAGCAGAAAAGAAGAACTTGAGTTGAAGAAGGCGAAGCTCGCGGCATTACGTGAGGAAAGATTACAAAGGGAAACCCCAAAGAAACGCGGAGACTTAACCCCAGAAATTCATTCCGTTCCATCTGTTAAAACTGTTGACACTGAACAAATCTTGGGTGACCTAGGTATTGGAATTGACTTGAAAGTTACGCCAAATAGACTAGATCCTGATATGAGGAATTCGAACAGCTCAGTTTCGTTGGACTCGAGGTAGGACCTATTTACGCTAGTTCAAACTTTTTGTGAAGGCTGCCTCAGCACAAGGCACTTACGCTTACAATATCTGAATTTAACGAATGCTCCTTTGATCCAGCAACTGGAGAGCAATATTCTAAGGAAACTCAGACTATGGTTGAAAACAAATGTGAGACTCCATGTAAGACTTGCTTTTAATTTTACTTCGTTTAGCAATAGCTACTGATACTTGGCCTGAAACGCCTTCAGGCGCGAATGGAGCAATTTCCAAAGCTCATTTGAGTTTGGAATGGGATGATCTAATTCCTGGTAATTGGGTTATTCATTTTTTTGACTATTAAAATATTTTTTAGTAGATGAAGACGATCCATTAACAGAGCAGGATATTCCTCCTATTCCAAGTAGTTTTGATATTGAAAAGCACGTTAGAATTGAGGATCTGAGTGCCACCATAAAATCATCAGGTTTATTATTTTTTGATATATTTCAATTTTTTTGTAAATTTTGTTATCATAATGTCGACTTTATGTCCTTTTACAGTCAAAGAATTAAGTGAAGAAGACAAAGAGAACATCCAAGCCTCTGAAAACTTCCAGGAATTTTTATTCCGGACTTCGGCACTTGTCGAATGTGCTCTAGATGAAGATGAAAGAGATATATTTTTCGATTATAGCGGAGCGGATAAGGAAGACGAGTAAGTCACCTCCCCCCCTCCCCCTCCTTAAACGAAACTGTGCATATGTCTGTGCCAGTAAATTACACATACTCAAGTCCTCATCGTAAATTATTAGATTAGGGTATTGTTGGAAGTCATTTTATTGTTTCCACTTCGAAAATCTTAATAAGCTATAAGCTTTCTAATATTCTTTTTAAGATGATGAAATGGCACCTAATGGACTCCCCCCAACGTCAAAATCGCTTCCTACTCCCTCACTAAAAATAACTGCGGTGATTTGTTAATTAAATCGAACTCATGACCTCTAACTTGATAGATTTGCGCTCCGACTACTTTACCGCGTATGCACAATTGGAATAATCTGAATCCCCTTTCCCGTCCAAGCTATTTTCATGTGTTTCCATTTGACGCACGTCTGTTATGTTCTGGTTTTAACATGGGAACGAAACATTGATTAGAGTATATGCCTCAAAAAAGCTTAAAATAGTAAACTGAACTCAGTAATTGGTAAACATACAAAAATGACGCTTCCCTTTAAATGTTAAATCATACATTTTCTCTTACTTATTTTTTCCTGAACGTTAAATCTGCCTATCAAATCTTGAACTTCAGATTTGTGGAAAGTCGTTGTCTCCTTTTTGTTTCCTAAATTATTTTAAGTACTATAAATTAATTCATGCTAAGGTGGTAGGCACCAGTAATATTCACTCGTGTGTTCACAAAATTCAAACCAAAGCATATCTGGTTCTATTTCATTTATTAAATGGTAAATAGATGGTGCCACTGCACTGCTGAGCTAATAATTTCGAAGGTTTACAAATCAATAAGCTTTGTGTTTTTAAACCAAAACGTGAGTTCTGAGATATTGAAATTCAACAATTTTGTTGGTTTTTGTTTTTCCAAGTAAATTTTATTAACTATGCAATAAGTGCCGTTCATAAGCAATTTTATTCTACGTTGATTGGCTATTTCAAGGTGGCCTCTTGCTCAAACACGTTTAAACTACACGCACCATGTAGCTTAATGCATTTGCATTCATTTGCATAATTCATGAATTTCATTGTAATTACTCATACGTATATCGTACCACTGATTTTATTTTACCTCTACCAGTTAAAGCGTATCTGATTCAGCCAATTGGATTGCACTTGGTTATCATTGGCTAGCGTGGCTAATCCGTAATATTTAATTGGTTAACAGGCTCGCGAAAGCTCAACAATTACTGATTGAAAATCGCGTATTTTACGATGAAGTGTGGACAGCGAAAAGAACAGTAACAGCTCTTGACTGGTCAGTCAGTCATCCTGAAATCGTATTAGCTGCCTATTCTGCAGTTCAGAAGGATGAAATGGCTTTGACACCTGTTGACCTCTATGCGGCGGCTGCGACTACTGATGGTGTCTGTCTTCTCTGGAACCTCAAATCAAAAAAGTCTGACTCAGGTCCAGACTCGATATTTATCTGTCAAGCTCCTGTTACCACAGCAATACTCTCTGACTTTCATCCGAATCTCATTATCGGTGGAACATATGTCGGTCAGATAGTCATATGGGATACAAGGTTAGTTAAACCACCTACTGATTTGCTGATATTGTTAAAACTCTTTATATTAACGTGTTAATTCCCACTTCTGTATAGAGTTAATCGTCAGACTCCAATCCAGAGAACTAGTCTGGCTGGAAATATAGGGCACTGGGAGCCAATCACAGCTCTAGCGGTGACTGGTGACCACAATGCCAATAATCTTGTCAGTGTTAGTACTGATGGAAGATTGTGCTCCTGGAGCTTGGATATGCTTGCCCAACCAACTCAAACCATGGAACTCGTTTACAAGCAGGCAAAGGCTGTGACTCCCTCATCTGTGGCGTTTGTCCGTGATTTTGATGATGGCTTCCTGATTGGCGCTCAAGATGGATATGTTTACTCGGGCTCACGAACTGGAAAGTAAGTATAAATGTATTTATTTCTATACTTATTTATTACCCATTTGTTTCATTTAATTTGAAAAAAGATGAATTAGAATATTTTTGTTAATATTTCATTGGAATTTAAAATGAAATCACATAGACTACATGGTAATAGACTTGTCATTAAAAATAAAATGCTTTTTAAGGGAAATTTATTCATTTAAACTTAGTTTCAATTATATTTTCAAGCCCATTGCTGGAAAATATATTGGAGCAGCCTCGTTAACTAAATTTGAAACAGCTCCAATGGTTTCCAAATGTTAAATTATAGTTTATATTTACTTCCATGATTCTGCTTAAATTTCTAGAAATGGTATCCCGAAAGGCTGCAAAGACTTCTCTAGTAACACAATTAGTAGGTCTCTTTGCTGTCAAATTTCAACTGTACTTATTTAATTGTGCTTATTGAAGTCGGAAACTTAGACAAATAGCGTTCCTTAGGGAGTTGAATTTTATTCAGCAACATAATCTAAACGCGTAAATGACGTGTTGGCTAATGTCTGATCTATCCTAAATAACTGGTGTTTGATCTCTATGGGCCGATCAATAAAAGATGCATCCTGCGAGAGGGGCCTGTCGTACGGAGTAATTTATATCAAATAGAAGGCTTTATGATAGGTATCATTAGCCCTTAAGTTGACTTCGGGCCTTACAGAGGAGAGGAACATCAAAATCACAAAAAAGTCGGTGGCGGGGGGGGGGTGGGCAGAAGAGTGTTTCAAAGATGTAAAAGAGGCAGATAGGCACAAATGATAGAGAAAAAGGTAAGGTAAGCACTATGAGGTGGTCAAATATGACATGCAGTGGGGTCATGATAGTTTGAAGTCAGAAGTCAACTACCGGTTTATAGACTTTTTTGCTCAATGAGTAACGTTGCCCAAGGTGTACCAAGTGGAGGTGTGCCTATCGCGCATCCCTCGTATTGAATAAGAGCTGGAAATAAATTGGTTTGTCAGAATCTTACCGTCACTCTGGGAGAGAAATTTAAGTTTACATTAAGATTGTATTCCTTCTGCGTCTGCGAGTGGGATAATATTTAAGGCTTATAATAAATTAACATTTAGTCAAAATCAACCCAATTTCGCTAAAACTAGTGCGTTTGTTTTTTTCCATTTTGGGGTGGGGGCGCAAAATTAATCTTCAAGCTTTAATTAGTAGCTTTAAAATTGCTAACTTGATTATTGGAGTCAAGTTCTAAAGTGCTGAATTTCGAACGCTTCCATATTCCGACATTGGGTTTATATAATAGACATGCCTCCATGTGATGCAGCCTGGGCAACGTATACTCTTACAGCTAAAATTTTATCAATCAACAGTTGACTTTGGACTTCAAACTACTATGACCCGATTGTCTGTCATATTCGATCCCTTTCACAGTACTCATCTTACCTTTTCTCTGCAATTGTGTCTGTCTGTCTCTTTTAAATCTTTCATTATTCTGCCTCCCCCCCCCCTCCTCTTGAATTTTTTTGTCACTTTGAGGTTCCTCCTCCTCTCTGTGAAGTCCCGAAGTCAGCTAAAGGACTAATGATAACTATCAGAACGCCTGTCATTTGAAATAAAATAAATATTCCGACATGATGATTCTCTAAACAAAGAGGAATACGATTCTTAGTCTCTTTCATCCATTTGTATCTATATTGAAGCATTCTACACTTTGAATTTTATATGCATGATTTGCATTGAATAACTGTCATTCCAAGTAGAA